TTCACTACCGCAAGAAAAAAGAAAACCAAGAAGACTGAGGACCAGGAACAGTTTTCCGGTGGTTACTGTCAAGTTTATTGTCCGTTTCTCGCTTGTACTAAAGGGCAACATCTGCTCAGACTTTAGGATGCCTCTAGCCTCATTTGCACAGATACGCCCACACAAGTGATTGAGTAATGTGATGTTTTTCGCGCAACGTACAGCACAGTCGTGCCAACCCAGTACTGTAGCTCTACCATTAGCGCAACTACATAACTGGCGTGGCCAAAACCAATGCAGTGCGCGGGAAACAATATGCTATCATATTGGTTCAGTAAGCATACGAATGGACAAGTCTATGCTCTCGCATAAAAGCCAGAGAAGTGCCAACGAGTGCGACCGGCGGCTGTCAATGACGGGACGCGTATGCTGCTGAAAATGCTGAAACCGCGTCGAATCGACATTTGTCGCTTTTGCGCGGACACTGTACACTACAAAAAATGCTTCATTCAGGTTAAATAATGAGTATTGTGGTTCTTGCTTGTCGAAATCGTGTATTCTGAAACCTGGAAGTGCCGATAACACTTGCACTGGCTCGATTGGTCGGCCTAACCTTTGGTGGAAATTATGGTGGTAGAACAGAAGGGCAAAAATGAAACTTGCTGGGACTCGTCTCAGGTTATGTCGAAGGTAGAAGTTTATGCATTTTGGTGTCGCACGCACTTTGTTAACTTAAAAGTATAGCTCAAGTAATTGGGTCTGCAAGAATTTCCTGAGTTGCGTTTCAAGCTTGGCGACATCAAGCGACCACTGTATTCTGGTCTACCATTGAAAGCGCTATTGAAAACTGGAGCTCATTTATTTCTCGACAACTGCGTGGTGATATAACACATTTACTGTTGCTGTTCACAGTGACACCTCTAGTCTTCTAAATATCACAACAAAGTACCATATCTCCCGTTTCAAACTGATGTATATGTGAACGAAATGTAAACATTGACGGCCACATTCTACACTACACAAAAATTTAAGTGTTGTTGACACCACAGGGGGAAAAACGTGCTAGAAAGGGTAATGAGCAGCATTGGTTTCTTTCGATCGTAGACATATTTCTCTGGGCTTTCTAGAGTGAAACACTACAAATAATTAAGTGATTTCACATACTGCCAATCTGCTTTTTCATCATGCCACCATCATCCACCAAGCTTCCATCATACCACTGTCATCCAGCTTGTTAACCAAGCCATCCACCAAACCCGTTTCGAATCGCCACCATCAGCCGGCATTTTCCACTGTCACCACCATTGGCTCGCCACCTGCACCACCATCTGCCACCATTTTTTCCACTCTCACCAGTCATCAGCCAGTATTTTCCGCTGACACCACCTATTGGCTCACCACCACTGCCACCATATGCCACCATTTTTTCCACTCTCACCGTCATTAGCCATTATGACCACTACGGCTTCTACCATAATCTACCTTAATCCCGAAAACCGCATTAGGTCCGTGGCCCCGGAAGAAAGGATAAAGCAAATCCGCTAAATAACTATTTCCAATCTGTTTTCACGATTGATAATGGAAATATGCCTGATGTTGACATTTGCAACACCCGACATATTGAACCACTTGTTGTGACAGAGTCCGGAGTGCTTAATTTGTTGTTAAAATTAGATACTAAGAAGGATGCCGGTCCCGATAACTTGCCAAATGAATTTCTTAGGCAATATGCTGAATGGGTAGCCAAATACTTGTGCATACTTTTCAATAAGTCCCTATCAACCTGTTCCCTCCCCCAAGAATGGAAAATCGCAAAAGTAGCTGCTGTTCATAAATGTGGTAGCGAAGCTGACCCTTCAAATTTCAGACCCATTTCACTAACCAGCACAACTTGCAAACTACTGAAACACATTATTCTTAAACATCTAACATTGTACCTTGACCAGAATCACATCTTATCGCCACTACAACACGGTTTTCGCAAAGGACTATCTACAGTTACCCAACTGGTTGAACTAATTCACGACATCTCCCTCAATGTAGACTGTACAAAACAAACTGATTTATTTCTATTAGATTTCTCAAAGGCAGTTTGATCGGGTGCCACACAAAAAATGTATAAAAAAATTAGAAGCAACGATAGGCGCAGGCCCACTTACTGACTGGATCGACAATTATCTATCTGAGTAACCGAACACAGTATGTGAAAGTCAATCGCGAAAGTTCTACCATAGCCAACGTTACGTCAGGTGTACCGCAGGGCAGTGTTTTGGCCCCCATTTTATTTTTGATCTTCATTAATGATTTACCTGCTGGCATGGGTGTTAATGTGAGGCTTTTCGCCGATGATTGTATACTTTACCAGGAAATAAACGCCCCAAAAGATCTTGTAAAACTGAACAATGCCTTGCAGTTCATATCTAAGTGGTGTGCTCTTTGGCAAATGACCCTGAATGTTAAAAAATCTGCTCTCTTGAGGATAACAAGAAAAATGCAAGTATCTGAATTTGTTTAATTATAAATGACTCTCCACTTCCGGTAGTGACTGAACACAAATATTTAGGTTTAACTTTAACGCAAGATTTTAGATGGGATATCCATGCTAGTCATGTCACATCAGCTGCATTATAACGGCTGTTTTTCCTTTGTAGAAGTCTCGCTTCCGCGCCACCTGAAATGAAACTTCTAGCCTACAAAGCATTCGTCAGACCTGTCTTAGAATATGCAAACGTCGCGTGGTTTCCCTTTACAAACAATGTCATAAAAGCCCTAGAATGAATACAACGAAAAGCGATAAGATTTGTCTATAACAAGTACAGAATAACTGACTCACCCACAGAACTTTTAAAAAAAGCAGGTCTCTTAACAATAAAAAAACGCGCTAAACTGGCACGTCAGAAATTCCTATATCAGTTAGTTGACCAACAGCTAAACATAGACAGTTTAAAGTACATGTCATTTAAAGAAACAAGGCCAACACGACAAAAGCATTCTCAGACACTGAATGAATATCAGTGCCGGACGAACTGTCTGAAATATTCTTTTTTTCCACTAGCAATTCACGAGTGGAATAACTTGCCAATCAGTATAACAAACAGTCAATCATTGGAAACTTTTTCATCTCTGCTCAAATGTTATTTATTGTCTTCTGAACTGACGAACTCTGTTTTTTTTTTTGTCCACTGTTTGAAGTGCTCACTTTTCTTTTTTTTTCAGTACTAGTTGGAATTGATGTCCTATGCTACTGAATGTATTTTAGTGGTACAGATGTAGTCATCAAATGTATTTCTGTCGACTTTATCTCACTCGTTATTATAATAATTCAGTGAGTACCCTCTGTATAAATCTTGCCCTTTCACAATGTATGTGCCCTTCCTGCAATAATACCTAATTGGGATTGGCAGTATATGTAAATAAAATAAATAATAAATAAATAAATATCCATTATCATTTCCACCATATCTTGTATTATTTCCACCATATCCACCAATGATACCAGCATCCACCAACCCAAGATTTTCAAAAGAGTATTAGAAGTAATTTTTATTTAATGACTTACCTTTCACTGACAAATGCACAAATTTTGCTTTGTGCGCAGATGACATACACCACTTTGCTTCCTCTGATACCGAAACAGACCTGTTTTCACAAGTGAATAATATACTGCCCAAAGTGTAAGAGAGCTGCTTGTGCAACAGTCTACAAATAAACATGAAAAATCAAAAGCTGTTATTTTCACTGTGAAAAATAAATGCACATCTTGCACCAACTTAAACATAGGTTTCCACTTTTTTGATGTGGTACAGAAACACAAAATTTTGAGTGTTGCATTTTCTAGACACACCATGTGGAACTCGCACATAAACCTCATTGCAAAGAAGTTGTCTACTGCGCTTTCTATTCTCAATAGATGCCGTCATATATTCCTGCCTCGTGTAATGCTCCAACTTTATCATTCCCTTTTTCGATTGCATATAAGCTACTACACCTTAGTATGGGCTAAAATGACAAAACGTAATATTAACAGGTTATTGCTACCCAAAAAGAAAGCTATTCATTACATCAATAATTAGGGGTGTGCGAATATTCAAAAGTGTCAAATATTTGTGGAATATTATTGCATTTGTGACATTTCTATTCGATTCCATAATCACATATTTGAAAATTTCAAATATTCCATCCCATATGTCCCTGTGAAGAACTTATGATTTTGAGCATTTGTGATAAGAGCCTGAGTAGATCATGCAGTGATTACTACAACTTCAGTGCGAGTGTAGTGATGCCTCAATAAAAACTCACAGAAGCGTGATGATGGCCACCGACGAATGCAGAGATACGTCATTACGACAAACCTACCGACGATAAACATCTCAATCAATTCAAATCATGTACTGCCTGCTCCGCAGTACGTGTGGCTTAGCAATTTAGTGCTGTTGCCGTTCATGTAAGCGAACTGACAATGCTGACTGTTGCCTCGCCTTCATGCGCAGGACTGCCTCAATAAAGAGGGTTTTGCTCGAGGATCGTGGAAATGAAAGCAACTTGCCGCCGCTGCATTGGCTCGACAAAATAGTCTTCGCACCGTTGTTCAGTCCCACGCTGAGCGAGCACGAAAAAAAAAAAAAAATACCTCTATGCAAGGGCAAATGCACGCGAATACGTTACAGGGTGCGACGCTGATAAAGTGATCTTAGGAAGGCGATGCACTGCACGCAACTAGCTAGGGGCGTGGTCAGCTTGACGAACGATGGTAATGCGTTTCATGTATAGCCATGCTACCTTTTCTAATAAATCGCTGTACAAACGTATGCGCAGATGTCGAAGGCTGTCGAGCCGTCCGTCAGCTGTGACGCTACTTCAGGATCTATACTCTTCTCCTAGTTCCAGAAAGATTTCATAGTTTACGGATATGGTCATTCGAATGAGCTGAAGTGTTTTTCCGCTCAATGGCAAGCAAAGAAAAGGCCATGCACTTTTCCGAAGCGTTACAATGGCAGTCATCACACATCACTCGATTTCACCTTAATGTGTAGTTCCGCTGCGGTCCCGACAGCGCCTTTCAAAATTTGTCACACTCGCATCAAGCTCGCAGGGCAACATCTCCTGCAATGAACCCTTCATTACACTGTTGCTGCGATCTTGTTTTTTTGCAAACGTCAGTTTACCGCCGTCGACACCTAGCACACCGAAGGGGGTTGTGATGCGGCAAAATATTGCCCTCCCTGCCGGTAGTTGCGGCTCCATTATCAAAAAGGCATATTTGGGGTGTCTTTCTATCACACAACAGTAATCATCTATCTCGCACGCTTCATATCCAGCTTTTCTGGACACATAAAAGCCAGCGCCTCTAGCAGTCTCGGCTCGAAGCTAGCGCGTTTTCAATAGAACCAGCGAGCTTTTCTTTAATAATTATTTATAGTGGGTGAACGTTGAAAAGCGCAGACAATAGAGCGTGTCTGGCAACCTAGATGAACGAGAAGGATGCAGCAATCATGACGGGATAAGCTTTAATTTTGTTCCCAGAGCAGTCAAAGATCGTACAATGGGAGTCTATGAAAACAGCAAAAAAAGTGGCCTGTTTTTTAATCGCACAGTTGTGGGGCGCAACATCAATGCGCCGTTATAGGTTCAATGCCACGTGTCGGACCATTTTTTTCATCAGACCGTAAATTACTTCCACAGCATGTGAAGAAAGAGAAGTGGACGAAGAGATAACAGGGACCGAACCTGCAACCTTTGAATGATGTGTCCAATACTCCACCCCTGAGCTACAGTGCTCTACCATTTGGCATCGTTGTCAGTAAACTCTCATTATTATCGTGTCTAGCCAAGAGGCTTTCAACTTTTAAATGTTTTGTAAGCCAAGCAATGTGCAATAAAAATATTCCCAGCATGGAGTGCTATAATAGCTAGCTCATTTTCAACATGGGCCTTTATTTACACTATACACAAAGGTGTTTCATACAGTAATGCCTAGGGGGGTATCTGGCACTAGTGTCTATGTTGGCTCCTTCAGCGGCTCTTGTACCCCTATGGGAATTATGAGAAGTACAGGCTTCAGATATGCTTAGAATAGATCGCGTTCTTGATATTCGCGACGCTGGTTTGTTGAGTGTAAAACAAAGCGATATGAAAGTATATTTAAATTAAACTTGCTTTATTTTTATTGAACATAAATTTTATTGAAAAACGTTCTTGTGGTTATGCGGTAGAAGTGAAACCTGGACAAATACAACCACCAGGGGATGCATTCCTCTGTCACTGCGTTCCAGATTTGGCATCAAGATGTATTAAATTATTCTAAACAACATTTGAAAACAAACATTCTTGTTTTGCCCTCGATAGTATGCAATGTTTATTTATGTAAATAACAGTACAGTAATAAGTGAGAAACACTTAGGATTTCGTCTGCTGCGATGCCATGTGCGTCTGTCCAAGTGGTTTGACATTAACGCACCTCTCGTTTTATTGTGAAGCCGAATCAGAGGATCAAGATGGTGCATCTAATTAGTTTCACTGTCGTTATTCAGTCTATTGAAACGAGTTTTGGCCGACGCCCTAACGTAAAACCGTAAAATGGATGTGATGTTCTGCACTGGCATGATACGCTACCTCTGTGCACAGCGGCGAGTGGACGACACTTCGCTAAAACTGTCAAATATGACTAGGAAAGCCCTGCACATCCCAGACGTCGTAGTCTTCAGGCTCTTTGAAGAACTAAGACACGGCTCCAGTTCTTTGCACGGCACTCCACTACCCACGCTGCGGAAGAATTAAATTGAAACTGTAGAAAAGAATCCGTAGATAGTTCTCTAGCTAACACAATCTCATTCGAAGCCTGTACTTCCCATAATTCCCATGGTGGTACACGATCGCAGTGCCAGATTCTGCTCTAGGTATTATTTCATGAAACTCTATGCTATACACTGTTCTCTCAATCATGTGCGAGGCCAGTGAAGTTGAAACTGACAAAATAACAGGAATATGGGCTAAGCTTCGTGATAAAGAACAATGCAAGATGGATACTACAGACTTGAGCGGTTCCTTTCACTCTGCAACACTCCATTTAACTGACTTAGATAATTGTTTTCTTAAGTAAAGATCGTTCACACCAACTCCACATGAGAGAAACGATTCTTCTTTAGTGCAAACATATCGTGCAAACATTGGGGGCATAATACAAAAATTGAAGGCCAGTTCCCAGCTGCAAATTGTCCTTTTGATCACTTTACTTTCTTCACACACAATTATTAAAATACAACTAATGTTCCTTGAGTTCATTATCTACTGGTTTTAATTAGGGTGTTGTCATCAAAAAAGAAACGAACCCTCAGAATTCCTTTTTACTGTGAATTGTGTAACAATAGGTAAATGTATAAATCAGTGCATTATACTTGATATTCTGGTAGTCATTGCCACGCATGTTTGCAAAGCTGCTTTTTGCCAACTGCGTCACCATACTGAAACATTTAAAAGTGCAATGCTTACTGCCCATAATCAATATACAGTATATCGTATGAACCAGACTATAGGTCGAGTGGGAATATAGGTCGACCCCCCCCCCAAGTTCAGGTTACCGAAAAAGAAAAAAAAAAAGGAAAACAACCCAAAACTGCCGAACCACAATTATTTGCGAATTGGCCGCACCGCACACCGATCAACGGAGCTCACCTCAACCACCATCGCAACTGCTCCTATTCATCCGACAAAGCACCACTGTCTTCTGAAGATGAGTTTGTGTTTGTCGCGAGCCGCCTCCCACATGGATGGATGGATGGATGGATGTGGCTGTACCCTTTATATCAGGCGGCGGCTAATGCCCCCTAGCTGTAATACTTGGTGAACTAACCACCAGATTCATCTTTTTTTGTTTTACTTTTAACAGGCACATTGCAGTGAAGGGTTTAATTTTCACTCGTGCCTTGACATTAGCCACCATTCAGATAACCTTCCTCTAGTTCTTTCGACCCACTTGAAGTCTATTTTGCTCTCCCTGTTCCTAAACCGCAGTGCTTTGAAAAACTTTGCGCCATCATCCTGAACTATAGGGCGAAGCCCTTTACAGAACATTATCAAGTGTTCCGCAGTTTCCTCCTCTCCACATGCACTGCATACCGTGTCTACCCCTTCGTATTTGGTCTGATATGTCTTGAGTCGCAATACTCCCGTCCTGGCCTCAAACAGTAGAGAACTACCCCGAGTATTTTCATAGATCCTTTCCTTGGCAATTTCCTGCTTAAAAGTTCGATAGATCTCTAGTGCGGATTTCTTAATCATGCCAATTTTCCACACGTCAGTCTCCGTTCCTTCACTTTCTTCTTAACCGATAGTTCTTTTTGGTTTGGCCACCTGCTGTTTCCAAAGTATTTACCAGTCGATTTTTTGGTGTGCTTCCTTCATTTTGTATCGACATTCTTCATGTAGAAGTAGCTGAATACCTACCCAGCCCAACGCTCCTCTCCCATTTCTCTCAATCGCTTCTCAAATTTTATCTTGCTGCTAGCTTCCCTGCCCTCAAATGATGTCCATCCCATATTACCTTATACTCCCTGATTTGGTGTATTCCCGTGAGCTCCTAAAACAGGCCAACCTATTCCACGTTGCTTAATTTCTAATCTTGCTTGAACTTCTGATCTCATGCACATGACCACGTTGCCGAAGGTCAGCCGAGGAACCATGACCCCTTTCCATATCCCTCTCACAACATCATACCTATTGTAATTCCACAGAGCCCTATTTTTCATCACTGCTGCATTCCTGTAACCTTTAGTCGTCAAGTATATTTCGTGTTCCCTTAGGTACTCGGTCCCATTGCTTATCCATATGCCCAGATACTTGTATATATCTATTATGTCTAGCGTGACTTCCTGTATCCTAAGCTCACAACCTTCATTATCATGAAAAAATCATGACTGCTGATTTTTCCTTAATGAATCTGAAATCTAACCTATCTCCCTCATTACCGCAGATGTCCATCAATCTCTGCAAATCTTCCTTGTTGTCAGCCATTAGCACTATATCATCTGCGTACATTAAAGCTGGTAGTGCCTGATCAATGAGTTTTCCTTGTTTGACAAAAGAGAGGTTGAAGCGAAGTCCACTTCCCTCTAATTTGGCCTCTAATCCTTATAGGTATGTCATGAATAACAAGGGTGACAGAGGACACCCCTGCCTAAGCCCCCGTCTCACTTCTGTGGGCTTGGATACCTGTTTTTTCCACTCTATAACTACCTTGCTACTTTTATAGATTTCCTTTAAAAAATTAGTGACTCCATCTTCCACATCTAGTGTGTCCAGTATTCCTCACAAGCCCTCTTGAACCACGCTATCCTACGCTCTCTTGATATACAAAAGTGCTAGCTACAGGGGCCTGAGTTCCTTTTCTGCTATTTCGATACACTGCGTCAGTGAGAACAGCTTGTCTTCCAACCTCCTGTATTTCCGAAACCCATTCTGCAGCTCCCCTAGCACCCCCTCATCCTCTATCCATGCCTGCAGTCCCATCTGCATCGCCAGCCTGTAGACCACTGATGCCACTGTTATGGGACGGTAGTCGTTTATGTCAGCTTTGTCCCCCTTTCCTTTATAGATCATGCTCATTCTGCTAAGTTTCCATCCATCAGGGACTTCAACATCGATTCTTGTTCTGCTCACTGCCTCTCTCAAAGTCTGTTTAGACTTCGGACCCAATGTCTTTATCAGCATAATTGGAATGCCATCTGGGCCTGTTGGAACCTTCTTCTCACCCCTTTCCCACTCTCGTTGCAAAAATGGAGCCATTGCGCCACTTGACCCATCCTTGTCTATTGTGGTGCATAAGGCACTTCTTTGTTGAAATTTTCCTGTCACCCTTGTTCTTATATGTTCAATCGCTTAGTCCCCTTCTAGCCTAGCACCTTTAGCTGTAGTTATAAACCTCTGCTCTAGGCTTGTTTCATTTCTTAGGGAGTTTAGATGATTCCGAAATTTCGCAGCTGCCTCTCTGTCCTTTTTTATGTACTTCTGCCAGCCACTGAGCACCCTTTCTTCTAATGTGCTTATTTGGGCCGGTTGGTACATGGTCAACGAAGTGAAAAAACAGCGCGTAACACAGGACACAGGACAGAGAAGAGACGGACGAGGCGCTGACTTACAACCAAAATTTATTTCGTACAGGGGTGTATATATAGCACACGAAACTTGAAAAAAGAGGGAGAGAAGTCGAGTGACATGAAAGAGTAATTTTT